CTGTTTTCTTTTGCATTGATTAAGTGACAGTAAACTTTTCTTCACCCCATTCAAGAGAGTGGTGAGAAAAAGGACAATCCCTGGACCTCTAAGTAGGTGGGGATCACCGTGGACTGTGACAAAGTGACAGGAGCCCAGCCTGAGGGGTGTGGCACTACCCAGTCTGGTTCTGGGAGAACCAGAATGCTGTTGCAGCCATTGAGCAAGGACAGAGAAGGCAGGATGGGAGGAGCAGGCGGGGGCAGGGACCCACAGGCCGGGACACTGTCGGAGCCCACATTACCAGCCAGATCAGAAAGGAGGGGAGGGAAGGAGAAGCCTGCCACGATCATTTGCTGTTGTTTGTGTGTAAGGGATATTCATATGCTTTCTGTGCGTAGGTTGAATTTTGCACATACTTAAAGCCATAAAATGACATGACCAATCCGCAAAGATTAGAAAATTAAACATCCTTCAATTTTAGTTATCGAATCATAGATAATGACACTTATTCTACTGATAATGAAACTTACATCAGAGAGGTTTAGTTATTGGTCTAAGGATGCAGAGCTAGAGACAAGCCATGCCAAGGACTTTCACCCACAGGTCCTGACTCCCTAGTCCAGAATGAGTGTTATTTTAATCTACAGTCTTCCTGGGTCCTGTCATTCATTTCATTCAGGTCATCAATGTTGGCTAAGTTATGACATTCTAGAATTCCAACTTATTTTATGCATTTTGAAAAAAGACAAGTAGGTATCAACTTATTATTTTTAAATCCTTATCAAATGACTAACTAAAAAGAGTGATATGTCTTTCTCACCCCAGCCAAAATCAATTTTTAAAAAGCATTTCACAGAAATTCACTTAAAATACTAAAAAAATTTCTTTCACATGTATTATTTTATCATAACAAAAGTGACAACTCATAGTCCAAAGAAAATGTATTAGATTGTTATTTTAGATGATCGTAAGAAATGTAAGCAAAATTAAAGCAGAAAAAGTCATTCTCATCTTAGACTTAAGACCTATGACTCTGTAAAGAAAAACAGATAAAACTTCCTGTCATGACATCATAAATATTGTCTCTAAAATGAGTTGAATCACAAAACTAGTAATCATTTATTTTAAAACTGTGGCAGGAAAATGGCTGAGAAAATCATATGTTTTAAAAAGTTTTAGAGTTTTCCAATTTGTGTGATTTTTAGAGAATATCTGATTTCGCTTTGCCTGTCATTCCTTTGGATTATGCTGACTCACCAGTCACAAGTGAATTGCAGCCCCTAGGGATCTTTAAAGGGACACAGACACCCTGGGTGCTATGAACACCCATGAGAGAACGGTAAGGGGGGGAGAGAGGGGTGGGGGGAGAGAAAGATACTCATCTTCGAGAATCACCATAACTTTGCTGCAGTGAAGTGTGAAGGCAGCAAGTTCTGCTTGGGGGAGGTGAGAATCATACTACTTGATATTGAAAGCTGCCTAATTCCAAAACGGAACTGAAGCAGCCACTGACACAGGACATACCAAGAAAGCTAGTGAGATTAAAAAAAAAAAAAACAAAAAAACAGGACTTGGATAAAAAGGAAGTAAACATCTACTCAGTTTAAGTCCACTGTCTCCAAACCTGGACGATCTGCCCCGTTAACTCTCGGGAGTCTTTGCTTTTAGATGGGAGACACCACATTTTAGGAGAGTCACCTTGGACTCAAGTCTTCACAAGATATTTAGCAGGGATTGTGTTTCACTCCAGAAAGAGATTTTATATTTTCCTTTATTCTAAGCTGTGTGTTTAGATGTTTGCATGTCTAATGAACACTGAGCATGTTTAAGTTTGGAATATTACGTTTTAAAGAAATGAATTAGATTTGTCAGTAGATGTTAACCGCAAGGCTAGTTTCATTTTAATGTTACTAAACATCGTTCTACCAAGCAAGAGAAAGGAGATGAGCCAAATATAAGTAAAACCCTGCCTCTAATGAAGGGGACTTAGAAGTAAACAAACCAATTAAAAATGATTCTCTGCTTCTAAGATAGCAACCTCTGGGGGAGGGAATTGCTAAGAAGATCAGCTCTTCTGATGACAAAAAGCAGGGAAAAGAACTACGAAGGGATCCAGCCCTGGTCAGAAGCAGAAGCTGCCTGCCTGGTGTACGACATGCTTCCAGTTTGGAGAATGCCCTGAGATGCAGTTAACCTCCGATGTGTCCCCTAACTGGTCGGAATGGGGCTGGACCATAGTCCAAAGGAGCATCTATCACTAGCAACATTCTTCTTATGACCAAGGACTGGAGAAAAGGGTAGATGGCCGCTTTTTTCTTTAGTCACTGCACCCAATACATAGGCTTCTGCTTTAAGAGCCAGGATACCACCCCCCAGTGCTTAAATCAACTTGTCTCCAAAGGTAAAAGCTGTGGGTGAGGGCAGGGGGGCAGTGTTAGGTTGGGGAAATGAAGAGCAGAAGGAGAGGAGCCCCATTTGAATGTGAATTTTGCCAGGAAGAATGAGGAAGGTGATCTGGGCAGCATCTTTACCCAGGGAGGGACTGGGGTCGGGGTAGGGTTAGGGTTAAACTAATTCCTACCATGTCAGCCAGCAGAGCAGCAAACATCCTATTTTTACTCATGATGCAGTCAATCTAGGATTATACAGTGCTGACACACTCAGAGGAAGACAAGATCTTGGTCCTGTGAGCTGAGAGCAAAAGACCCCAGTGATCACCTGTGATGCTCAGGACATCAGAAGGGGAGCATAAGAAGGGGAGGTGGAATATGGCTGAAACTCATGCCTCCCGAGTCAGGGACTTCCTCACCCAGAGCTGAACCAAAGACAGACACATTTATTTTACCTATAACAATAAAAATAACAGTTTTATTAGGCAATGCATTAGGGTTATCTGTGACTCTGGATATGACAGTTCAGAGGTTGTTTCCAAAAGGTAGTCAGGTCGACACGATGCCACAACCAGACCTCAGAGTACACAGCGGGTGGACACCACTCTACTTAGGTGAGACAGCCACAGGAAATTCTATATGCTAAGAACCTCTCCATTGTCAACACCCATACCATCCTCATTGTTTCTCTCCTGACTCTCCAACAAAGGCTGCTATTGGTCAAGTCAATTCTCCCGTCCTCATACATCCATCCAGTCACCCTGCCAACCTTTGTTGTCACTGTTGTCTTCTCTTTTGTGAGGGTGGAGCAGGGGAATGAGACTCACACATGGGCCACTGTAAGAACCAGGCCATGTCAAGAACATGTACATCTTTAGAAATACTCTTTTCTGGCAAACAAATGGACCAATGCACTAAAGGTCTCGCAGGAGAACGTTCTTCATAGTAACATTATAGCTAAGAGCAGAGTACGAGCTTTCTCCAAAACCTTCAGAAATCTTATCAAACAACTGATTCTTTGTTCCATTTTACAGCCTAAAAGCTGTCTACTGCATCAACAGAAAGAAGGTCCCCAGTCATCTCCTTTTGCCCAGGTACCTCAGAGCCACCGAGTTTCCCTATCTGAACTACAGTTTACTGGTTATGAACTTGACAGCCTGAGTTGTAAGCCCATAGTTCCAGGCAGGATCCATGAATCTACAGAAAAAAATGCATCATTCAGAAACGAAGATGGTCAAGTTGAAGTCTCTACTTCTAAACCAAAAAGTTACTCAACTTCAGCTCAAGACCTCTTGTGATTAAAGAGGTAAAATGGACATCATAAAAATGAAAATGAAAAATGTGTATACTTCAAAGGACACTATCCAGAAAGTAAAAAGACAACCAATGGGAGAGAATTTTTGCAAATCATGTTCTGATAAGGGACTTGTATTTACAACATAAATAATTCCTACAACTCAATAATAAAACACAACCCATTTTTTTAAAGGTAAAGTATGTGTATAGATACTTCTTCAAAGAAGATATATAAATGACCAGTAAGGACATGTAAAGAAGTTCAGGGTCATAAGCCATTAGGGACATGCATATCAAAACTACAAGATCCACTTCATACACACTAGGATGGCTCAAATTAAAAAGACAGATGATAGTAAGTGTTGGGGAGGATATGGAGAAATTGGAACTTTCATACTCTGCTGGTTAGGGTGTAAAACAGTGCAGCTGCTTTGGAAAATAGCCTAGTAGTTCCTCAAAAGGTTAAACACAGTGTTACCCTATGACTCAGTATTCTACTCATGGGTATACACCAAGGAGAAATGAAAACCTATGTCCACACAAAAAGTTGTACAGGAATGTTCATAGCAGTATTCATAATAGCCCCCAAATGGAACCAACTCAAATGTCTATCAACTGATGAATGGATAAATAACATGAGGTATCTCCATAAAATGAAATATTATTCAACAATGAAAAGCAATGAAGTACTGATACATGCTATAACATGAAAACATCAATATGTTGAATGAGAGAAGCCAGTCACAAAGGATGACGTATTGCATCACTCTGTTTATGTGAACTGTCCAGAATAAAAAGCTCTATGGTGATAGAAAGCAGAGATGGGGCAGGAATGAGGAGGAACTCCTAATTGCTAGCATGTTTCTTTTGGGGGTGAAAAATTTAGAGCATGAAAATATTCTAAAAATGATTATGGTGATGGATGTACAACTCTGGGAATATACTAAAAGTCATTAAAATGTATACTTTAAATGGCTGACTTTTATGGTATGTGAATTACATCTTAATAAAGTTGTATTAAAAAATTGCACTAAAAACAAAACTGCACTAAAAAAGAACATGTCATATGTTCCCATTTATGCATTTATGAAAAAGGGTAAATATATGTGGGAGATGCAAATGCAAATTATATGTCAAGTCCACTGTTTCTTTATGTATAAAGTAAATATTCTAGTTATTTCATAAGGTAGTTTCAGTAATTATAAGGATGATTCACATAAAACACTTGATACAATGCCTGGCATATATTAGTCACTCAGCAAATACTAATTCTTACCATTAGCAATGACAAAAAGATACTTCCTACCGAGGTTCAATGTCTTTCATACTTACCTCCATTGTAAAACCTATGACTTTGAAACATTGCTCAATTAATTCATATTGGGATTTATAGAAACTATTATTCATCATGTCCTGCACTGTTCTGAGGTGGTCATTTTGTAGGTATCTGAAAAAAATATGAAAGGATGGGTCAAAATCTAAAGTTCAATGTAAAGTGAAAATATTACTTAGAAAAGTGCCACCCGCCGGGTTACCTGGGAGGCTTATTTTCAGGCAATTTGTAATGGGCTAGTTTCTTCTTTTCAGCCAATCCAGCATAGATGTAGTAAAAAATATGAAAATTTTTTTCTCCACTGAAAAAATAAGACATTTTCAGTAAGAATATTTACTTAGTAAGAATATTAATTAGTAAGAATATTTACTAATTGTTAAAATTACTTGGCAATATAATGATCAGAACAACAACTATGAGTGCTACCATGGGTTTCTCAGAGTATTGGATTCTGGCTTTTTATTGTCGTTGTCACTATTTTCAACAATCACTGTCATTAAATTCCAGACACTGCTAAGCACTTTATATGAATCATTCAATGCACATTTGTGACTACCAGGCATTGTTCTAGACACTGGAAATGTGACAGGAGTGAAACAGTCAACAATCCCTAAACTCTTGGATTTTACATGTCAGTGGGAGCAGAGAGAAAAAGAAACAATTTTATGATGATATATCAGATGATCAGAAGTGCTACATTATCCCACTTACCTGCCATAACACCCTAGTTGCTCATAGGGTTCCCACATTTTATATACATGGACACTATAAGGCTTAGAGGGGGTACCATTCTCCCCTCAGGTCACAGAGTTGATGGCTAAACTGGATTCAAACCAGGGCTGTTAAACTCCAAAGCCTAAGTCTTTAACCACCTTGTGAACTGCCTTTCTGGGGTTCAGTTTTCTCACTTGCATGAGAAATCTCTGTGGTCTACGTATAAACAGCATTCCCCAGATTCTGGAATAATACAAATACGGGAGTAATAGCAACAATACTCAATTATGTATGCTTATGTGTACATATAATAAATATATGTATATATATATTATGGATGCTTATATATGATGAAATCAATGATAGCAATGATACGAGGGACTGGAGAGAGAAATTAGGGTTATTTTGTTATTATAAGGTGCTGATGATAGTGTTATTTGAAGGTAGACTTGGATTAGTGGTAAATATATACTGAAAACTCTAAGGCAACCACTAAAAAAATGAAAAAAGAAGAATCACCAAAATATGCTAAGAAAGGTGAGAAAATGGAATCACAGAGAAGGCTCAGTTAAAACCACAAAAGGCAGAACAAGAGTGGGAGACAAAAAGAGGAACAAAGAACAAGGGCAACAATTAGAAAACACTAATATGATAGATATTAATCCAACTATATCAGTCATCACTTTGAACATCAATGGTCTAAATAATACTAATTAAAAGAAATTGTCAGAGGGATCAAAAAACAAGACCTATACATATGTTGTCTACAAGAAACCCACTTTAAATATAAAGATACATATTGATTAAAAATAAATGGGTAAAGAAAAATATACCATGCTAACACTTATCAAAAGAAAGCAGGAACAACTGTATTAATTTCATACAGAGCAGACTTCAAAGCAAGGAAGTTATCAGGGATTAAGAAATGTATTACATAATGATTAAGGGTTCAATGCTCCAAGAGACATAATAATCCTTAACGTTTATGGACATAACAATGGAGTGTGAAACTATGGGAGGCAAAAACTGATAGAACTGCAAGGAGAAATAGAAGAATCCACTATTATAGCTGGTAACTTCAACCCACGTCTCTCAGAAATGGACAGATCTAGCAAGCAGAAAAGCAGTAAGGACACAGTTGAATGCAACAATAATATCAATCAACTGGATATAACTGATACCCTCTAGACTACATCATCCAAAAACAGCAGAATTCACATTCTTCTCAAGCTCATATGGAACATTCACCAAGACAGACATCTTAGACCATAAAACACACCTTAACAAATTAAAAATAATTGACATCATATAATCTGTTCTTAGACCACAATGGAATGAAACTAGAAATCAATAACAGAAAGATAACTGGAAAATTCCAAAATATGTGGCAATCAAGCAATGCAGTTCTAAATAACACATGGTTCAAAAGATAAATATTAAAAGAAATTTTAAAATATTTTGAACTAGGTGAGAATGAAACCACAACTTACCAAAATTTGTGGGATGCAGTGAAAGCAGTGTTTAGAGGGTAATCCATAGCCTTGAATGACTACATTAGAAAGAAGAAAGATCTAAAAACAATAATCTACATTTTCATTTTAGAAAACTAGAAAATTAGCAAATTAAATCCAAAGTAAGCAAAAGATAAGAAATAATAAGAAATAGAGCAGAAATCAATGAAATTAGAAACCAGAAATCAGTAGAGAAAAATCAATGAAACAAAAAGCTTTTTTTTTTTTAAGATCAATAAAATCAATAAGCTTCTAGGCAGGCTAAGAAAGAAAAGAGGACAGAAATTACTAATATCAGAAATAAAAGAAGGGACATCATTACAGGCCCATGGAAATTAAAAGGGTAATAAAAGAATATTATGAGCAACTCCATTCTTCGAAATCTAGATGAAATGGACCAATTCTTTGAAAGATCCAATTTGCCAAAACTCTCACAAGAAGAAATAGATAATCTGAAGAGCTCAAACTCCATTAAAGAAATTGAATCAATAATTAATAATCTTCCAAAACAGAAAGCTCCAGTCCCACATGAGTTCACTTTTGAATTATGCCAAATATTTCATACAGAATTTATACCAATTCTCTACAGTCTCTTTCAGAAGATAGATGCAAAGTGAATACTTACCTTGTTCAATGAGGCCAGCATTATCATAACACCAAAACCAAATAAAGATATCACAAGAAAATTATAGACCCATAGCTCCCATGAACCTAGATGAAAAAATCCTCAACAAAACTTTAGCAACTTGGGGCGCCTGGGTGGCTCAGTTGGTTAAGCGACTGCCTTCGGCTCAGGATGATCCTGGAGTCCTGGGATCGAGTCCCGCGTCGGGCTCCCCTGCTCAGCAGGGAGTCTGCTTCTCCCTCTCCTGCTCCCCCCCTTGTGCTCTCTCTATCTCATTCTCTCTCTCAAATAAATAAATAAATCTTTAAAAAAAAGAAAAGAAAAAGAAAAAACTTTAGCAACTTGAATCCAGCAATGAATAAACAGAATTATATACCACGACCAAATGGCATATACCCCAGGTATGCATGGCTGTTTCAACATTCAAAAATCAATCCATGTAATCCATCATATCAATAGGCTAAAGAAGAAAAATCACATGATCATACCAATATATGCAGAAAAAGCATTTGACAAAATCCAACAGCCATTCCTGACAAAACCTCTCAGTAAACTAGTAATAGAGGGAAATTTCCTCAACTTGGTAAAGAACATTTATAAAAAACACTACAGGTAACATCATATTTCATGGTGAGAAACTGAAAGCTTTCACACTAAGATCAAGAACAAGGTAAGGATGTCCCCTCTCAACACTTCTTTTCAACACTGTACTGGAAGTCCTAACTCATGCATGCAGTTTGAGAAGGGAAAAATAAAACTGTCTTTCTTCACAGATGACATTATTGTCTATATAGAAAAAGCTAAAGAATTGACAAAAAAACCTCCTTGAACTAATAAGCAATTACAGCCAGTCTGCAGGATACCGGTTAACAGATAAAAGTCAATCCCACTCAAAATCCTAGCAAGTTATTTTGTGGATATTGACATTCAGATTCTAAAGTTTATATGGAGAAGCAAAAGACCCAGAATAGCCAACACAATATTGAAGAAAAAGTTTAAAGGACTGACACTGCCTGACTTCAAGAATTCCTAGAAAGCTATAGTAATTGAGACAGTGTAGTATTGACAAAAAAAAAAAAAAAAAAGGACAAATAGATCAATGAAACAGACAGAGGGCCCAGAATAAATACAGCCCACTGACTCCTGACAAAGGAATAAAGGCAATAAAATGAAGCAAAGACAACTGGACATCCACATGCAAGAAAAAAAAAAAAAAAGGAATCCAAAGACCTTACACGTTTCACAGAAATTAATTCAAAGTGGGTCATAGATCTAAATGTGTAGAACACAGACCTATAAAACTCCTAGAAGATCAACTAAGAGGAAAACTAGCTGATGGTGGATATGGTGATGACTTTTTAGAAGTGACACCAAAGCCATGTTCTGTGAAAGAAATAACTGATAAACTGGATTTTGTTAAACTTAAAAACTTCTCTGTAAAAGATATTTTCAAGAGAATGGGAAGATAAACCAGACTGGGAGAAAATACTCACAAAAGACACATCTGATAAAGAACTGTTTTCCAAAATATACAAAGAACTTTAAAAACTCAACAATAAGAATACAAACAACCTGATTTAAAAATGGACCAAAAGCCTTAACAGACACCTCACCAAAGAAAATAAATAGATGGCAAATGAGTCTGTGAAAAGATGCTCCACATCATATGTCATCAGGGAAATGCAAATTAAAACCACTAGGAGATATCACTATACATCTATCAGAATGGCCAAAGTCCAAAACGCTGACAAAACCAAGTGCTGGCTAGGATGCAGAACCACAGGAACTCTCATTCACTGCTGGTGGGAATGCAAACTGGTACAGCCACTTTGGCAGACAGTTTGGTAATTTCTTACAAAACTAAACATATTCTTACCATATGATCCAGCAATGGAGGTCTTTGGTATTTACCCAAAGGAGTCAAAAACTTAGGTTCACGCAAAAACCTGTGCATGGATGTTTGTAGCAGTTCTACTCATAATTGCCAAAACTTGAAACAAACAAGAAGTTCCTAGTAGATGAATGGATAAATGATTTGTGGTACATCCAGACAATGGAATATTAATTCAGCACTCAAAAGTAATGACTATCAAGCCATGAAAAGATAAGGAGAAACTTCAAGTGCATATTACTAAGTGAAAGAAGCCAATCTGCAAAGACTGCTTTTCCATACAATCATATTGTATAATTCTAGCTATATGACATTCTGAAAAAGGCAAAACTATGAAGACAGTAAGATGATCAGTGGTTGCCAGAAGTTGGGGGAGGAGAGGATGGATAGGCAGAGCAGAAAAGACTTTTTGGGCAGTGAAAATACTCATATGTAATACTATAAGAGTAGATACCTGCCATGCATTTGTCCAAACTGGAAGAAAATATGCCACCAAGAGTGAATCTTACTGTAAACTATGGACTTTGGGTGATTACAGTGTATCAGTGTAGGTTCAAATG